GTTTTAGTCTTTAGGGGTTGTCTACGTCGACGGAACCCAACATAGCCAAAGTTTTAGTCTTTAGGGGTTGTCGACGTCGACGGAACCCAATATAGCCAAAGTTTTAGTCTTTAGGGGTTGTCGACGTCGACGGAACCCAACATAGCCAAAGTTGTAGTCTTTAGGGGTTGTCGACGTCGACGGAACCCAATATAGCCAAAGTTTTAGTCTTTAGGGGTTGTCGACGTCGACGGAACCCAAAATAGCCAAAGTGTAGTCTTTAGGGGTTGTCGACGTCGACGGAACCCAACATAGCCAAAATTTAGACTGTAGGGGTTGTCAACATTGACGGAACCCAATATAGCTTTTCCATTGTATCTATCTATCTATCTATCTATCTATCTATCTATCTATCTATCTACATCCATGAAACAAAGATGACAAAACTTCTTAACTTCACCATTCTATGAAGCGTATATGAAAGCAAGATAATTCCAACTAATAGATCCACACAGAACATAACCATAGTAGATTCTTACAGCAACATACTGGAGTTCAACATAGTTCATAACTTCTAACAGACCCATAATTCAAACTGGAGTTCAACATACTGGAGTTCAACATACTTAATAGATTCTTACAGAACCATACACACATACAGAACAAATACATTGATACTACTTCACAAAAGTTCAGCTAAGCAGCCTCTTCATCTTGTTCATTCATCCAAGATGGCCTAGATCCCCTTCATCTTCTGCTTGTTCTTCTCCTCTGCCTTCAACATATCAGCAATCTGAAGCTTGAGCTGAGCCCTGTCTTTAGTGAGCTTGTCATGTCCCTTTTTCAGATCACCAATGTGATCCTTCAGCTTCAGATTCTCTTGGGTGAGCTCTTCCTGAGACTTAGTGACTTCATCAACCTGCATCAGCTTCAGATTCTCTTGCTTGAGCTTCTCCATAGACTTAGTTAGTTCTTCAACCTGGAACTGCAAGTTCCTCATGGCTGCACTATGCACTTCCTTCTCTTTCAAATGGTTGAACTTCATGTTCCTGATGACAGTGCCTTGGGCTTTTGTCAGGTTCACGAGGACTTCATACTTCCCTTGCAGCTTGAATATCTCTGCATCTTTCTTCTCCATCCCAGTCTTCATATCTGAGACAACTGAGTTGGTCACCTCAGCTTTCCTCTCCTCTGCACTCTCCATCTTAGACTGCAAATATCTAAAATCCAGCACCCTATCCTCTTGGGCATTCAAAAGTTGATGAACATCTTCAACTAATTTGTCATAGTTGGCCTCCAGTTTATTTTTTTCTTCTGTCAAATTGTGAATAGTGAGTGAACTCTCCAGGTTATCCTTCCGCCTATCACTCCTACTATCTTGATACATTTCTCATAGCTTCAACAATGCATTCTGCATTGTAGGAGGCCACTCTGGGTCAACCCATTCAACAGAGCCATAGTTCTGACCTTCCTGCAATATATTCAGCACCTATATTTGTTAAAGGATTTGATTGTAAAGAACATCACAAATACACTAAATATTACAATTAAAGAATATGATCTTAAGTAAAGAACTAAAGAACAACAGAACTAACTAACTGAAGAACAACACAGCATGTGCACGGCAACCAAATCACATAGCCACATTATTTAATCATAACAAAAAGTACATCAACTATAAAGCACTCATAAAGCACTAAACCATCAGGATCAAAGCTTAAACAATGTTGTGCACTCGAAACTAAGCTCTTGGCCACATATTAAATTAACATATGCCTACTCCAATGACCAGCATCAGTGCATTAGTACTAGTAATTGGATAAAGAATGGCAATCACAAGAAGATAATCTAACTTGGACCAAACTACTACTAATTAAAAATACGGTGGGGCTACTACCAACTCATTTTAATAAACAGAACATAGAAAGTGCAGAATCTTACTTTCAGAGGACAGGCTAAGAACCTCCTGCCCGTGTCAAATCCCTCAAAGGCTACACGCCTCTCACATGGCAGCCCATGGTGTTGGCAGGGAACAATGGTTTCAGTCTCAATGCCCATGTAGTCTTGGTCTTCAATACTGGCAGGGATCTGTAGTAGCAAAATGAACCAAAACCCCCCAAATCAAAGATCAAATCCCCAAAGCAATAACACTAACCCTAACCCTAGCTAAACCACTAACCCGGTACAACATGATGTCGTCGTCGGAGGAGTTCATATACTGCAGGCTGGAGTAGTCGTCGCTGCTCTCATCCTCGTGGACCATGGCGCGGTGGCGGCGGGGGAATGCGCGGCGGTCGGCGACGAATCGGCGGGTGAGAGCTCGAGCGGGGCGAGGGCTAGGGTTCGTGGGGAGTGAGTGAGTTGGGTTCGAGGGAGTTGGGTTCGACCAGGTAGACCGACCGAGCCGGTTCGGCGGCTGGTCAACTGACTCATGGGGCCGGGTTGTCAGATACAGCGCCAATACAGAGTTATACGCGGCTTAGCCCGTATTGCAACGACTAGCCTCAAACGTGGTACTGACTTGCAAAAAATCTGAATAGTGGTACCGACTCGTTACAGCTACCCCAAGTGTGATACTTCCCTACAATTAACTCCATGCATATTCAAAGCTCTTCTTTCTCTGTGCGACTGTTTTAGTGGTGTACGTTAATATAGTTTTCTTTACAAAGTTGACAAAGTTTAGACAAAGTTAATATGGGAAGTAAATATGAACAAGGGAGTACTTAACTATGCGCTTGGACTAGTAATCAAGAGAAAAAGAACATCGGATGATGCAATGCTTGTTCTTTAGTGAAGACTACTTAGAAAAGCGAAAAGTATTCAAGAGAAAGCATCGAAAAATTACAGATCACCACACTAGAAAGTGCCAAATGCATATAGAATAATAAACACATCACAACACAGTACTGCTTATGGCACAAATAGTTGCCTACTTGAGCTGATTAATGAACTAACTTCCTTGGTGACCTTCATGCAAAACCGAAGGCCACACAAGCACACACATTATATGACACTAGAAATCTAGAAACAACACGCTGAAACACTGAGCCGGAAATGAAGGAAAACACCCAAAGAAAGAAACCCAGAGCTAGACGAACAACTGACTGTCCACACATAAAACTGCGACTACTACTAGTAAGTTTCTTCTACTGCAGCTTAAATTATCTTCCGAGAGATCCTATCACCACCCGGTAACCTCGCCCAGACTGGGATGCGTGTACACCAGGTGGTACCAGGATCTCGAGATCAGCCCCCACACAGAACAGAACAGAACAGAACACGAGCGGACGACCTGGACGGCTTGCCGAGCCGACGACTGGTCACTCGTCAGTAGTAGTAGTCGTACTGATACGCCGGAGGCGGCGGCGGGGGAGGCTCCGAGGCGAGCTGGGCGCAGACCTCGGCGAAGGCTGCGAGGATGGCGGCGTGGTGGCGCGGCGCGTTGAGGGCGAGCAGGCGGCGAAGCATGCAGCGGAGGCCGTCCCAGTCGCAGAGCCCCATCTCCACCACCATCTGCACCATGCTGTCACGGAAGTCGGCCCGGGGGTCCGACGACTCCTTCTCTACCGCCACCCCGACGCCCTCCTCCTCCTCTTCCTCGGCCGGCACTGCCATCTTCTCGCGCCTCTTCTTCGCCCTGCTGCCCGCCTTGTTCCTCGCCACCGGCGCCGGCGCCGGCGCCGACGCATTGGCCGTGATCCCGTAGGGCACTGCAGGCTCCTGGCGGTGCTTGTAAACGTGGGCGGAGGCGGGGTGGTTGGCATGGTTACTGGAGGAGGAGTAGGAGGAGTAGGTGGCGGCGGAGGCAGACGACGCGGTGGAGGCGGAGGAGGGGAACAAGGACGACGAGCGGGAGCTGCTGCCGCTCCTGGTGACCGACGGCCTGAGGAAGGAGGGCAGGCTCATGAGCGGCAGCCTCGGCCGGCGCGGGCGGCACCCGCACCCCGTGTCCACCACGGCCACGTGCCGCCACCGGCCGCCCACCGCGAACTGCCGGCCGCCGCTCCGCCGCGCTCTCGTCGACGACATGGCGATGTCAGGTCAACCAGGTTTGGTTGGATGTATTGTGCGGTGGTAAGGAAGAGAGTGCCGGCTTGGGGCATTATATATGCGATTTGACGAGGACAGGTCAGTGGGGTTAAGGATTGATCGCTGGGGTTTAGCTGGGCCACGTTGGGGCCCTGTCCTGCGGCTAAGCTGATCGATGATGATGGGTGTGACTTTGACCGCCCCTCCGGCAGCTAATGGAGACACGTAGGATGGTTTGATTGCACGGACGTGATACGGCGGCACTGCTCGCGCTCCTGCCTACAGACACGCCGCCCTCGGAGGAAAAGAGAGCAAGTGGTAAACACGTTACTTGTTCAAAAGCCGTGAGCCAGGGATCAGATCAGCGCACGGAACAACAGGGAGTTCATTTTCTTCCGTTCTAAGGCATGGATTCCTGGTCAGGCATATGCATCCGGAGCAGTGACTTTGCTATGTTACTCTCTTGCTCTGCGGTGTAATTTACATTCACCTTGAGCTTAACCCAAATTTCGCGATTGCTCAACCCACGACATTAGATGATCCCAAATGTTAAAAATTTTGACGCCGGATTTTTGACGTTTCGGAACCAACGTTTCTCCTGCCGTTCGATCCTATAGCTCAAATCTTACGCGAGTACGGGGCCACGTCAGATTTTTCAGTCATTCGCTGGGACGTCGACCGAATGAATGTTTTCCGACCTCCCCCTCACACTCTCTCCTGGTCTATTCTCATTCCCCGCTGCCCAAATCATCTCATTCCCTCGCCGCCAAGCTTCCTCCCATCCCGTCGCGGCACTCCAGCATTGGTACCCCGCGCCGTGCGGCACCATCGCAGCCCGTGGCCCTGCCTCATCCTTGAGATGGGGGCGAATGCGTACGGTGCTAGATGTTGCCGCGGCGATCGGTGCCCGGTGCGGCCAACCGAGATATCTGGGAGGCACTGCACGTCGTCGGTGGAGGCAGAGCTGCTCGCCCGCGCCGCCGTGGCGAGTGTCAAGGCCACCTCCCTTTGTGAGCTCCTCATCGACTCCAAGGCACATGCCGCCGCACTCTTAGTCCGCATTCTCCAGCTTGAGCGCGAGGCAGTCGACCGCGACGACGCCGTGGGCAATTGCCAATGGCGTGTTGGAGAGTGGATGGCCGGAGTTGTGCGGGGGTGGCTCGGCATCACCGGTGGTGGAGCCCGACGCGCTGGTACGTGGCACCGGGCTTCCCTATGTTGATCGTGTGATCTCGTTGCCTCTGTCGTGCATCGACATGACTCCCACGGAGGTATGGTCCTGTTGCTGGAGTACACGCCTTTCTTTTGCAGTTCATGCTGAGCAGCGCCAACCAACCATGGTAGCTCATGAAGATTGGCATCAACTTATGTGCATCACCGGGCCAGCAGGCAGCCATGGTTTATGATGCCTTTTGAGATTCGGTTTGGATAAAAGAAGGTTCTCATGCTTTTCCCCCAAAAAGTGACCCGACTTATCGAATCCACGAGAGGATATGCACTATGACAAAGGCTCAGACAAATTATTATTAAAATTCTAGTTTTTCAACCAGACCTTTAACAACCTTTTGGGTGTGGATAAACACTAGTAGTAAAACAGACATGTTGAAAAAACATGTGGTGCCCCTATGTTGGGTTTTGGTAATTGATGACTGTCACACCCTAGCTAGTTCAAGCATTAGAGTGTGCATCATGTTTAAATTCCTCTTAAATTTGAAATGGGGAAGACAGAACCACCAGCACCTGGAACAACTAGGGTTTATTAAAAACTTTTTCAATGAACCTGAAATGCCCTTCTAAAAAGCCCATCCTTTTTGTTTTGGGTTAAAACCTTTGACAAAAATGGTGCACATTTTTCTAGGACATCAAAGGTCATTGGATTAATCCTTATGGTATTTGCATTTGGGCATTTAAATGCTATAAAATATTTTAAATGCTCAAATAATCATAAACTAATATGTTTGTTGTTGGATATATTCTAAGCAGTGGTCATGATTAATTTTATGATTTATGATAATGCCCTGGTATTTTTAATAAAGCCCAGCACTTGCAGAAAAATAGAAAAAGAAAACAAATCAGAAAAGAAAGGAGAGAGAGAGAACTTACCAGGCGCAGCCCACCAGCCCACCTGGCTCGGCCCAGCCGACTGGCGCTTGCCAGTCGTCCCCCTCCTCTCGCCAGGAGGACGAGGAGCGCGTGGCCGGCGTCCGCGGCCACACGCCGGCCAGCTCCTACTTCCGCCGACGCCCTGGAAGCATCTAGGAGTGCCACGCCGCCCCCCACGCCCCCCTCTCTTTCTTCCTACACTCCCCGTGGCCTCTCTCCCTCTTTGGCTCTCTCCCCATTCCCCTGCCGAGCGCAGCCGTCACCGCCGACAAGCTTCACCGCAGCCACCGCCGTCCATTTGCTGCCCCGACATGCCAGGAAGCTCCGCCGTCGTCGACTGCATCAAGTAGGCCGAGCCCCGTGCGCTCGCTCGCCCCGGAGACGCTGCACCGAGCTCGTCCTCAACTCTGGCCACCGGAGATCCCCTTCACCGCCCCGCTCGCTCCAGCCCTTCCCCGAGCCCGCCGATCGCTTCCCTGCAACCGCTGTGAGCTCCGCCACCATTTCCCCCTCTCCCCGCGCTCGTCCGCGTCCTCTAACCCCCTCTGCCATCGAAGCCGAAGCTCGTCGCCGCCACCGCACGTCGCCGTCGTGGCCATAGCCACGTTGGAACGCCATCGAGCACGCCTTCATCCTCCACGCACTCCCAGGAGCCTAACGCACCACTCCCCGCGCCTCGCCGTGCCCTGTAGCCTCGGTTTCATCCTCGCCCGAACTCCGGCGACCGCCAAGGTCGTCACCGGCGTCGTTCCCGGCCTCCCCGAGCTCCACTTTCTCCACCAAACGATGTGGCTCGCTTCCCGTGTCACGTAGCTGCTCTCCGCCGTCGATTTGGTCGCCGGAGACGCAAACCCCAGCCCCTCCGCCGCGTCTGTCATCGCCGGCATCAAGCCGCCGGCGAGTTGACCCTGTTTGACCCTCGTGTGGGCCCAGGTAGACCCCCCCTGAGTCTATGACAGGTGGGGCCGGCCTGCTAATCAGTTTAAGATTAGTTTTAACTAATTCTAGTTAGTTTAGACACTGACATGTGGGCCCAGGCCCCACTGACAGCTAATTAGTGTTAATCTAATTCTGTTAACCAGTTGTGTCACTGACAGAGAGGGCCCATCAGTCAGGTTTGACCTGGCCGACCCAGTTGACCCGCTGACGTCACACCTATGTCATGCTGACGCATTAATTCAATTACTGGATTTATCCTTTAAAAGGAAATTCTAGAAAATAGTCAAAACTTCTAAAAATCGTAGAAAATCAACCATAGCTCCAAATGCAAAGATTTATATATAAAAAATGATCAAAAAAATTCAATCTATCCATCTGTAATGGTTTCATGCATGACAAAACAAGTTAACCTTGATGTTTAAGCAGAATAAGGTAATGCACTAATAAGGCCATGTTTAACGAGCTAATATTTGAATCTTTGATTCAAATGAGTTCATCCCCTTCTGTTTTAGCTTGCATTAGGTCAAGACACTTTCATCTTGCCATGTCATAGCATGCATCATATTGTTGCATATTGCCATGTGTTGATTATGTTCGGTGTGATTTTCATGGTAGGTTCTGCCTCTAAGGATAACCCCGAGTATCCGTCTGAAGGGCAGTACCCTACTACCTCTACAACAGGCAAGCAACCCATTGATCATTCCGATACAAACCCATGTTCTCGCTTCTGCTCTTGTTTACTGCATTAAGACAACGCGATTCAAACTGCTGTGTGCTATGGTAGTTGAACCCTTATCCTCTACATGACCTGTCATTGCCACAGTAACTAGATGAAACCCACTAGCATGTGTAGGAGTTGATTGAGCCATGTATATGATTCCTACCTTGCTATGCCTGCTATGCTTAGAGTTGTGTCAGGTCTGGTTCATCTGGGTGATGGGCTAGAGTGATATGATGATGTCGGTAATGTGAGGGATGTGTTGAACATGTTTTGGTAAAGGTATCGATGAGAGGCCTTGTAGGAGTACATGGTGGGTTGTTTCATTGAGGCCGTCCATAAGAACTGAGATCTGTATGCATGATTTAAGATTCAGCTACTACCACACATTGGGCCCTGAAATATGACCCCGCTCGACTTACTGACCCTCTCGCTCTCTGTCCAGGAGTTGCAACTAGTTTCTCGTGTTTGTAGGTTATGTGTTGGCGGCCGTGCGTAGCACTGACCCTAGGGGTGGGCTATGATGCGGTAGATACACCGTGGCATGGTGTATCGAGTCGCCCGTTTGGTGTCTCGGGAACCCGGCACACAAAGTTTGGGGCCGTTGAGGACACCCCGGCCGGATTTCCTTGCGGATGGAACCTGAATAGGCGATCAACCTAGACTAGAGACTTGTGAGGTTAGTCAGGTCGTGGTCTACACCCATGTCGGTTTTCGCTTGAAGTCTGTCGAGCACATGTCGTGTGCAGACGCTAAGTGGTGGAGACATGTGTGACGAAGTACACCCCTGCAGGGTATAAAACTATTCGAATAGCCGCGTCTGCGGTAAAGGACTACTTGGTTGCCTATACAGTTCATAGACAAATTAATGGTTACTACTAAAAGTCTCAAGATAAGTGTGAGTACCGAGGATGGCCCTCTCGTAGGATCACGAGAGAGGATCCCCGGTGGAGTATTGTGTTGGTGAGTAGTGGACTCGTGTGCGGAAACTATTTTACTAGTGGAGTTCTGTAGGATAGCTTAGCCAAGAGTCAAAGCTGGCTTGCTGCAATAACCCCACCACCTTCTTGAGAATAAGCATGTATAGTAGGTTCTGTTGTAAGACTTGCTGAGTACCTTTGTACTCATGTTTGCTTAATTACTGTTTTCAGACGACAACACCGCCCCCTCCGATGGGTTCTACGTAGACCTTGACGTCGACGAGTGACTAGCCACCTAGGTGGTGATCCTGGCCATGGAG